TCAGAGTAAACAAAAGCATACTTTTAGAAATTGATTAATAGGGAACATAATATGGAATCGCGTATCTAAAGAAATTAATAATATAATATATGTATTGCTGTTTCAGTGTCACACGACTGGATCAGTAGCGTGATAGCTTATGTGACTGACTTATAAGCGTGAGGTCGGGTGTTCAAATCTAGCAATCGCTATGCGTTTTCTTTTAACAAATAAACATTTCTACGTTTCAGCTGTGAAGCCTTCTTCAGATGTGAGGGTCTTCAGCTCAAAACGAAACGCTAAAATGTAATGTAGGCTCTGAACGGATTAAACTTTGATTTGGGCTTGCTTGACACCACTGCCTTTCATCTGAAATCCTCCTTGAATCCTGCTAAACTAGAAATTAGACACAAGAAGAGAAGAGGCTCTGGTGAAATGTCTCTGTGAACTGAAGAGTTCAAGTGTAAAGTGTCTCCTCCTTTTAAACTGCGACACGGAAGATATTACTGTATTAAGGATATAGCGTTTTTGGCTCATGTGGATTTGCGCCCTACACCCTGCGGTACCGCTGTGTACATACAGTACGAACATGTTGTGATATTTAGAAATATAAAAAGTCAATATACTGTAGTGTCCATAATATTTGCCATTTTAGTTTTTCAAAGAAATGCTAATTTGTTAAAAGAAAACTCATAGCGATTGCTGGATTTGAACACCCGACCTCACGCTTATAAGTCAGTCACTTAAGCTATCACGCCACTGATCCAGTCAAGTGACATACACTGAAACAGCAATACATATTGTTATTAATTTACATTAATTTGTTATTAATTTACGCGATTCCATATTATATTCCCTATTATTCAAGTGCTCTTGTTTACTCCGATAACGAGCGTATTCGCAGAAAAGGTTAAAACGATCAATTTTCACAAAGTATATAAACGTACAGTAATATGGTCAGAAGGAGCTCGTAAAAACGTTTCCGAAATAACCACATGTAAGACTTAAAATGTAAAATGTAAGATACTTAAAATGTTTAGGGATAAATGTAATACTGGTGTGTATTTTTTCTTTAAACTACCAAGACCAGCCATATACAGTACAGTTTACATACAGTAATATGTTTATGTTCCTAAATTAAAATCTTTTATGAGCATGTTAAAGGCATGCTTTGTATGATTGGAAGCGAATGCATGATCGGATTAACGAAATGCTTTGGTGTTACTTTTTGTCAATGAAAAAATAAAGTATTTTCATTTACAAAGAATGTGGACCAGGGTAATACTTTGAATTTACAGGTTGTCCAAGGTCATTCATTATTAATACTATTAGTAATATCTTCGGTAAAGACTTCAATGCATAAAATATTTCTACATAATTAAAATATTTATGATAAAGGTGGTAGGTTGTGTATTTTTGTCCAACTGAGCAATCTTGCTTTCAAAAAATATACCAACTTTTTAATGTATAATGATTAACGTGCTTTAATTTACAGTTTAAATTTAAAAGTCTAAAGAGTATACAACTTAAGTTCTTAATTGAATAAAGATTGTCTCTCAGCAGTGATCGGGATTCAAAACCGGATGTTTTCTAGTGACAGCTCAAATGCTGTACAGGAGAGGTTAAGCTTTATTAGCTCCACCTGCCGGTTTTACAAGGTGATTCCGGATACTATTAACATAACAATTAACAATCTAATTTGCATACTGTATATTGCGACACGCCCACCGCGTTGTACTGCAGCATACCCCGCTCATTTTGAATGACTGCATCTGTACCATGCAAGAAGGGAATCCATGGTATAACTGTCACATTCTGATCTCACAAGAAAGCGGTTACATGTGCGTTGTCCTGCTAAGAATGATGTCACAATGGGATGAGCCCTCAGAAAGGATGCCAAGTAAGTCCCCATAGCTGCTCAGTGTATTGCTGTGCTGTTGGGTTGCCATCACAAGTTTCGCTCTGTAACAATTAGACACTCCTTCCTATGTCATCACACTGAAAACTATCGGAAAGATGGAGCATAATGATGTGTCAATCTTGGTGAGGTTGATAATGGTCTCCCAGATGGTAGCCTTCATTAAGAATTGTGCTTGACCAATCTTACCAAAAATTCCTTGCTGGAAGCGTTTATCTTACTGAATTCTGACTGAAAGACTTTTGGTAGACTTCAAGAGATGTGAAAAAGCTAATTACCTCACTAAAAAAAGTAAAAAAAAAAAGTGATATGCCCCACAGAAATGAACAGGGCCATAACATGTGGTACGCCAAACATTATTACAATAGCTCTATGGTTTTCTGGCATAAAATGTATCTTATTTGCTGGTGAGAGTGTGTCTTCTATTCAAAAGATACTGACTGAATCTTTTGTACTGTGAAATCTGGAAGCAGAAGAATTTTGATAAGGGTCTGTATGGCTACAACCTGTGGCACCATATATTTACATAAATATCTGTTGTGTGTAATAAAATGGGTTGAATATTGTACAGACATTCCTGAGCAGAGTTCTATGATTATGGAGAGATGTTTCAATGAGAATACAGAACTAAATACACTTTTTTGTCAACTTGTAAAATAGTTTTTTTTAAAGATTAAAGACTTAAAGGATCGTCTTAATATCTTCATATAAGTCCAAGAGAAAATATGTTGAGCTCAAGTGAAAAGCCTTTGAAACATGAAAGAGTATTCCAGCAATGCTGTGAAAGAAAAACCTTGGGACAATACCACACTGACATAAATCTGTTACATAAAAGTGGTGAAGGCTATAGAAAATACTCTAGCATTTAAAGGAATAAGTTGTCATGTCTTTTCCTAAGATAAATCTTTCATTTAAGTGTAACATGTGACAAATACTTGAACTTCATACTCCTGGACCTAAATATTTTCATTGTTGTACTAGTAAAAGTATTTTAAGAAGTGACCAAATACTGCTGAGAACTGTGATACTGTGAGTAATGGTTTTGAATATGCAATTCAAGAATGGAGATTCCTTAGCCCACAGACTTGAAATGAGATCTAAAGCACTGGAAACAATTGAGTTTAATGTGCCAAGGTAAAAATGATAGTAACGGTGCAGTATGTATGAACTATTCAGACTGAACCACAATTTTTTGACACAAACTGGAATAAAAATCCCCTTTGTAAAGCCACAAACACCTTTCACTACCTCTTGTATACACTATATGTACACTACACAAAAATTGTCATAGTACGTTCATCATTCCGAAAAGAAAATAGTACAAAGAAAGTCTCGACACACATTCTTAGTCTGAGAGTACAGTTTAAAATGTGAAATGCAATTGGCTCCAATACTAATTTGTTGCATTTGTAAAGCATCTTGGTTTATAATTTTCGGAGTTGCCATATCAGCAAACAACCACAAGAAGGCAAGTAGAAAAAATACATTGGTTTTGATTTTTATGGGCAGATAGTTTTTCCAGAATTAGTCAAGAGTTGTTTGTACAATTTGAGAACAGTTATAGGCTTGCTCATGAACCTGTAAACTCGAATATATCATGTTCCTGTAGTAGACCTTTTGTCTGTGATAACAGCAATAAAGTTTTGACTTAAGTCTCTTTTCTTTCAGATTTAACTACTGTTAATAGTTCTTCACCCGAACTTGATAGCAGACATGCTGGTAAGTTACCTTCTTCAGAAAATGAAAACAACAAAACTAATATAATACTAATATAATACCAGCTATGTCACTGGTTTTACACAGCAGATACGGTTTTAAAAATAAAGGAAAAAAAATGGTTTTGATATAATCTTCCTAATGAACCAAGACTTGTTGCCTAACTGGCTTTCTACTGAATACAGCTCCAGTGGTCAAAGGCGAACATTAAAGCTATCATTTTTCTTACCCCTGGCACTTGCTGTGATTTACTGCACTCGTGAACGTTGCTTTAGAAATAAAGCACATACAGATATGAAATGGTAGTCTTGTGAGATTATCAAATAACTCCTGCTCACTGTATATCATTTCATATTTTTATCCAGATACAACAGTGTGGATAAGAATGTACATGCCAAAATTAGAAATCTCATTTTTGCTTTTAGTGTTTTTAGTCCACTTCTAGTGATTTGGGGTTGTATCTATAACCTCCATCTTGGATTGCATACATTGCATGAATTATCTCATACTGCCACCATGTGGGCTGAAAGTGTGCCACTTTTCTTTTCTGTTCAAGCTGTCTGCTTTGTGATAAAATCGAAATAGAATAAAATTGAATTTCACCATTTATAAAATGCTTATAATCATTTAAATTTTATGACATGATTTTGCATCATGCTAAGACGTACCAAATACCACATTCTTATGCACGAGTTGTTTCAGAGATTTGCACATATGTCCATTGTTATAGTGTGTTCACTGACAGGGTTAGTATCTTAGGAAATTCTTTAGACATGCTTTACGTTGGTAGATATCGATTTAAATAACAAGCATGCTAATTTTATAGTCGGATGCACTGCATTTCCATTCACAATCAACCTCCTTGGCTTTTTCAATACAGTGCTAAAATTGAAGAGGATGTCTCAGAGTAAGAGTTTACATGGCCAAAACGTTTTCTGCCCATTTATACAAGTTCTGAATATTCAGTTAGGATCTTAAATGGAAGGCATTCCCATTTTTTTTTATTTTTGTCATACCATTCTGTAAATTGAAAAGAAGGGAAAAGTCATTTATCACATTTTGCAGTTTGTTAACCAGTATCATTTTTATCTGGAATCTGTTGGCTCAGATGTTTAAAGGAGGAATATTTGTAAATCCTTTGAATGTGTGTCCTGTCAGTACCCACTCAAACAACCCATTATGTTTAATATATTTGTAGCCATCAAGACAAATTGTTCTCTTTTGATCATTCCAAATTTGCAGGCATAGAATTAAAAAAGGTGATTCCCGGTTAAAAAATATATACATGTACTTAGACTTGCTATGTGTATGAATAGCAGTTATATGGATATATTCTTTGTTATTTATCAATTACTGTAAAGAACCTCATGGCATACCCCTTCATTAGGCAGTACATTTGAAGGTAGTTTGATTTATTTTATTCACATGATTTTTCGATAAGAGTAAGAAGGTGACATCGCTGGAAAAAGTTACTATTATAGCAGTTAATACTTTTCAAGTCTCATTTATCTTGTTGGGTGTGAATTAAATGCATTTCTAAATTGCATGACATGTAATACCCAAGACTTTAAAAGGCACTATCATTAGAGCACAAAAAGCGTGCAAGAACTGTAGAAGTGCGACCCGTGTGACTGGGTTTGTTTGTGCAGTTGTGAAACATGTCTGAATACAATTGAAGTCTGTTTGGCTGGAGTTGGCAAGGGTATCCATACATCAGAGTTGCCTGTTCGCTCATGGTTAGTGAGAGCCACATCACCCTTCACATTGATGCTCTGCTGCGGGCACTGTGGGACTCGTGGTGGTTTGCTCTGACAAATGCATATTTTGGAAGAATGCAGAGTCTCATCTTGCTAAATCTGATATAAGGGTTATGGTTCTATAAGCAAGATAATTAAGAGCTTGTAATTCAAGTTGAGTATTATCATACATGGAAAATCTAATTTTAAAAAAGACGTGTATTTTGCAAAATGATCAATAGAAAATAGAGAACAGCTACCTGTCATGATAGAAAATCTAGTATACTGTATATAATCCCAAGGTAATCAAGATTGCATGTCTACTATACTTTGCCGTGTTCAATTTCTGTAACACTGTTCCTATTATGGTTTCCAGATTTGGATAGACCAGGTTTTTGCTGGAGTCGGCCAGACAGAGGCACCTGTGATGGTTCTGTGAAACGATATTTATTTAATCCCAAGAAAATGAGGTGCCATGCTTTCCGATACAGTGGATGTGGAGGCAACAAGAACAACTTTGTCTTCAAGGAAGACTGTAGGAAAACATGCATGAAAGGTATTTAGTAAATGACTGTGTTCAGGAAAGTAAAACTGATGTGATTTTGTGGACATTTTGCATCAAGTTAATATCTGGAATAAATGCAGATACTAAAAACAAATCATACATTTGTCTCTTAGTCATTTTAAAGTTCTGTACTTGTAGTGGTCAATCCATGCCCATAAAGCCAAAGTATCTGTAGAGCTGTGAGAGATCAAGATCTGAGCTGTTCTTTAACAAAAGTAGAGAACAAAGAATACTAGATAATTACTAGATGCAGCACTTAGTAGGTGAAGAAAAAACAAGAAACCAATTAAAATGTTAATTAGGTGATGGAACTCCCTGCTCTCCTTGTCATTTGCTTTCAGTGCTTCAGTAGTAGCAGAAGTAGTAATAGGGAAAGCATCTTCAAACAACTGAATGAATCATAGGCCTCAGCAGTGTAATATCATGGGTTTTTATTTGTTGCTGTTTGCACATGGCAATAAATATGGTACCTTGAGTGTAACTAAACACCACCACTGACATTTTGAACAACACTAAGTGATGGCAATTATTTCCCCTCTCTGTGTAAAAAAATTGAGAAGCCAATACTGTATAAAAATATGGTACAGTATGTTGATGAGTGGTGAAATTATGATTCAATACTGGATGATACCAGTAACATACTTGGCAACTATGATAAGCAGTTTTCATGCACCTCAGATATAAAAAGCTATTATGTTTTTGCAAAAAATCTTTGCATATTTTTCTCAGCTGAAAAAAGTGATTGTCATCATTTACAGATGAGAACCTATAACTGAAAGTCATCATCTCTTATCCCTTAGTTGCAGTGTAAACCATCTAAACCAAAAAACTTGTTCAAAGCCTGTATAAATGCATTTTGAACAGACTGTTAATCAGTCTAGGATATCTCAAAATAACCGGCAGGGTTATCTAACCATTAATATACAGGTTTCTTCCAATTTAAATCTTTGTGTTTTATCATTTTTGAAAACATTGTAAATCAGCATTTCATACACACATTATTATAAAGTATGCATGTCTTGCACACTATCACCATCATTATTATTCTTTAATACTGTATAATTCTTCTAGCAACAGTAATGTAACATGTCACAGGTTAGAAATGACTCATTTTTGCATTAGGATTAATACTTAATGATTGAGTTACGCATATTGTAATTGTTGATTAAGGCTTTTATGTTGTTTTAAGTACTTAAAGAGACACAGCATGCACTGAAATTTGACAAAGACATATTTTGCCTTGAGGCAACAGAATGCAGACATTTTTTTTGTAGAATTTTAATTGGAATCTATATGCCAAAGCAGTTTCCTTCTTTAATATTTTCCCTTGTTTTTCAAATGCAGGTGTCCCCATAACAGGGCGAATAAGGATAAAGAAGAAGAATATCAAAATCTTAGTTAAGCCTTGATAAAATATAGGGGATCCTGTGGAACAAAATCAGTTCAACACTACATGAGATTCATTAAGAATTTATAACCTCTCTCTACTTTTGTTTAATCCTCTTGTAAAGAAAATATTTTGCATAATTTCACAAGCACTTACAGTATTAACGTTTAACTCAAATAAGAAAATACCGGAAGAAGGGATGCGATAGACAAATGTATTATGACTAAAATGTTACTGAAAGCTGTGTTTTTTATACTGATGTTTCTGAGCCTACTGTAAAGAAAAAAAGGAATTTCATAATGCATTACTTCTGCTCTGAAAATAACCTTTTTACTGCTGTATATTTAACAACTGTTTTCTTATTAATTTAGCAAGCCGATATGTTTGGTAGGCTATTGTTAACAGTCACATTTCACACTCATAAGACTTCATTACTTATAATCTTATTAAACATATTAAACTATCATAACACTGGGAACCTCGGAAAAGTGAATGTTATTCTGCTTACCTGTGCAACACTCCAAATGATAAAATACCACTTGACATTTTAAATCAAAGCAGCCTAACTTAAGCTTCTTCTTAATTCAAATTGTGAAGCAATTTCTCACATCTTTGTCTAATAGTGGGCCTACTCACACAATAACTGCCACATGTCACCTGTCAAAAGTCACCTGTGGTTTTTTGCAGTGGTGGATGAATTGGGTCCTGTCTTATACTGTATGTACAGTTTTAGAATTACTGGTGATGGAAAGTATAAATGTGAGAAATTGTTGTCTGGGCATAGTCTATATAATGTTTGATGTTCTGCAGTGTCTTGGGGAATTTACAGTATGGTAATTAGAACTATTGATAATTTTATAGTAAAAATTAAACAACTTACTATCTCTGTAATTAAATGGACATACATGTGGAACAATTCACAGTGCAAAATGTGAAAATGAATAAATTCCTTACCATCATAGAAGTCTGCTATTGTGTAATTGTTCATTTCCAGAGGTTAACGTGTCATTGCATTACAGTAATATATTTTCTAAATTGCATGGCCTCTTAAGCACAGCTTCACACATTGGTTGGAATGGATAACACTTCATGGTTGGAATGCTTCACACATTGATTGGAATACCAATGCATACCAGCTCTGCTGTTCTGCAGATTTGCTCTTTCAAATTCACAATCGCCAGAAGACAATGACAATGATGAATATGATAATTCAGTAAAGCTGCCAAGTCCTGATTCATCACAGAATTCTGTAATGTTTGACATATGGGTTCCCAATGATGCAGCTCATTCAGGTAGAAGTAGAAAATGGGAAGCTCAGAAACCTTTCCATAATGTTTTCACAAATTGTGAAAATTTTGCACATCTCACAAACACTCGCTCTCTGTGGTTCTCTGCTTCTATCAAAATCTACACTTACTGTATGTCTCAATAAAATGACTAAAATATGCAAATAACAGACTTCATAATTCTGTAACATGTTATGTATCCATTGCTTGATAGTTAACCTTCAACAAACATAGTGTAGAGTTTAAAAACACTGGATTTATCTGGAATATATTAGTATGTCAGATATACAGTAGGATGCACTAGTGTGTCTGAAAATGTTACAGCACATAAAAAAGTTGCTACGATGGGGGTATTTATTCCTACATACATGCTAAGAGGACTAATGCTTTTAGTATTAATGAAACCTCAGGCCAAGCATGAGTATCACTGTACCACAACCCACCCACCTTCAGTTGTGTAAAATAGCTACACATCACAAACATTACACTACTTGTGTGTTTTTTTCTGGCTTTTTCTCAAATAGCTCAGGAGTAGGTAGAATGCTGCTGCGGAATCGCCCTGAAGGTAGTTTTACCTTCTCTATTTAAATTGAAAGCTGTGCGATAGGACTTGGTAAAATGAATCATCTTAAGGTTACCAAGAAAAAGTGTGCCTGAGTCATGAAGCGGTTGGCTTGGTTCTGAGATGAACAATGGAGCAGCCATGTGAGTATCTAATATGTGGTTACAATTGGGGTAGAAGGTGTAATGAGTTCCCCTATTACTGCACGTTCATGCAGTAGTGAGGGAGGAGAGCAAGGGGGCCACATTCTTTGTTGTCTTAGGCCCCCTAGTGGGGACTTGTGGAGTCACAGGATGAGGGATAACTTCACTGAGTCTCATTTGAAATATTCTGAGCTGTAAAGTGGTGGGGCTTTTTTCTCAGGAGAAGTGAATGCCTAAGAAACAAAGGGTGAATATCAAATGGCCACAGTATCACTCTAAAGTAGGGGTGTCATATACAGGCCTGGAGCCTCTAGCTGTAGCTGTACATGAGGGCGTTTTGGTGGTCTGTCAATATTGGCCTGTGGAACCCTTCTGGTCTGCTATTACGTACTGTTGGTCCCCTTTTTGAGAAGCCTGTTCAATCCCCCAAAAACAGTTAATCACAGAGGTATTATTCGGCAAAAGACCTTCAGTCCCTCTCCTCCTGTGAAAGAACTCTTCAGTCCTTTGTATTGCAGATGCAGACTCCAATGCAATAGCCAGAACAGACATACTCCTCTCAAACTCTTCACTTTTATTCACTAGAAACACCTTGCACACCCATGCACAGCAAGTCTTCCCTTAACTAGAAGATACACATTCTGCACTGGTGTGCCTTACACAGCTTAACCCTCAGCTCCCTGTTTCTAACTAACTCTACAGAGAGTTTGGAGAATTCAAATTAAATCCTGGAGTACATGGTAGAGACAGAATGCTAAATCCTTTCTATATCTGTCATTCATTAGCTAACTCCACTCTATAACAAAATACTTTCAAGTTTTTTTTTCCATTATCTTCTAGACTTCAAACCTAAACTGGCATTAGGACTGTAGAATCTTAGACCCAGCCCCCTGCCCTTGGTAGCTGGCTACTGATATATGGACTTGTGCTACTTCTAAGGAATGTCTTAATGCTGAGAGCTAATTATGTATGTATCCTTTTCTATCTATGGATTGCTTCACATGGAGGTTAAACAAGGCAGGTGTATTTAATTTAGTCTCTAGAAGGAGGAGGCTGCAACCAAGCCTCAGCTTGCTCTATAACTCCCAACTAGTGCATTTGTACAGCCCATTTGGCAGTTGTAGTGATCATTGGCTTGGGTTCAATTTGTGTCTTGTCTGTGCCTGAATAGCTGTGAAAGATCCACCCTTTCTGGTAGCATGCCTTAGGTACTTTTGCACATGAAAACACTCCAATTCAACAGATGTGAAAAGGTTAAGGATTTATTTACACTTTTATAACATAAAGCAAAAGCCTACCTGTTACTCCATTCTTTTTAAAGTTCAGATTCCAGATATATCACTATACCCAACCAAGTAAGCTGCTTACCAGTTTCACAAAATTTCACTCTTGCAAAACCTGAACTCTTTCCCAAAAACAAACTTCCAAAAATGTACAATGTAGTGCTAACAGTTTTGTTGATCAGGCTTTACTTTTCTGTTCCATTATCCCTCTGGTGCAATCATGCAACAGACCCTGCTGTCTTCCTAGGCTCAATGTCCTGGTGACTGAGGATGGCAGGTCATTCCCCATTGCCTTCTGGGAAATGTTCCTTAGACAAGAGTCTTCATCTTGTCTAGGCCTGCTACCATCTTGCAACAGACCACACACTAAGCAGACGTCCTTGGTGACTTTATCACTCTCAAACTCACATTCCCACTGGTGTTCTCCACAATTACAGTTTCTCCAGTTTGATGATGTCACAGAACTAGCTTGATAGGGACATCTTTGCACGAAAATGGTGTTGAGAAAATTGACCCTGCAGGACATGTGCACACACTTCCTCCAAATTCTGGTTTTCCCTCAGTGACTGAACCACCATTGGTCACTCTGAAACAGTAACAAAATCTAACACACACTATATACTAAAAACTATCACAAGGGAAGAGGCTATAAAGTGAAGCAGCTTTGTTGCAATCGTGTAGTGAAAAACGTATATTAAAATGCAGTTTAGGTTTCTTTGTAGCAAAAATCCATATAAATTAACTGTTTGTGTAGCAAAGGGTGTGTGTATATAATTGCTAATTTATTTACACCACCTATTGAATGAGATATTCTCACAGGATTCTTTTTAAAAGAACATAACTTTCTTGTTCAATCGTGTACAAAATGCTGAAGGATCCTATACTCGAAAGATAATGAGTAAAGTATTCTCAATTGTCATTTTGTGAAGACACAATGGATATATTATATAATGGTTGTGCCTTACATTTTAATAATTTATGGAATTTACAGTATGGTCATTTCAACGTACTTTTTTTTTCATATCCGGTCTGCTACAGCAAATGAGCTTGATACCCCTGCTATAGTATAATGAATGATCTTAAGGAATTTAATATACATAAAAACTATGTTTATCCATTACTCAGACAACTATGTTTGTATAGGACATTTCTCCGAAAAATAAGAATCACCTTGAAATTATTTATAGGAACATTTATGATAGTTCCTGAAAGAATGCACCTGAAGATGATTCACTTGATACCTTGCTGCTGATTTACCTATTATAATCATACTGTAAGGTCCTCTGCCTCCTTAGGAATCTAAACTGCACATATTCTAGACATTTCATCTCATATTTATAGCACTTTATCACTATTTCAACCCATGATCCTAATAACCTCCAGAGTATATCTAGGTTCATTTATGTTAAAGTTGGTCCACCTGGGAGGATAAAATTTGAAAACTCACTCTTTTTGCCTGATTTATTTTGTCTTAGTCCTTATCATGTTAAAACACCCCACATTTACAGCACTTTTCTGAGAATATTGCATAATTCAAAAAAACTGGAGGAGGGATATGGTTCACTTGAAAGTATTCAGTATGCTGTGTTCTTTAGGAAAAAAAATACATCATGTTATTATTCTCATGTTTTACTGTGCACAGCATACAGTTTTTTTGGGCATTTCATCTTTTATTTCAAATGTTGCTTTATCTATCAATAACTCTTTTCTCCATTATTGTTTTGAAAAATCTTCTTGGCTCAATGAGCAGGCATCATATTTTTCAAGATGTAACTGTAGTAATCAGGTCAGCTTCTTGAAGATGTCATTTCCCAGTTTCCTTCTGTTTGCTGAGAACACAGTTATCCCTGGACCTCATATAGTCCGTCTCTCCATATATTCTTCATTTGTTTAGTTCAACTGTTAAAGCTACTGTACAAGTCAATCATGTCCTTCTAACCTTAATTGATCGGTTTGAAAAACAGTCTTAGGCCTTCCAATTGAAGAGAAAGTGTATGCCGTATGCGGTAATATATTGCATGAAAATAAAGTAAAATATTGACAATGTAATCTAAGAGGAGCTACACAGAAAAAATGCTAAGAAAGCTTTAATATTGCACAATTCTTGTGTTATTTTGCAACAGTTATGACATTATACGTTTCCAAGGAATAGTGACATCCAAGAATCATATTTTGAATATTTATTATTATTACTCTAAGTGGAGAAGACTGAAACCCCATTCAGAGAGAGGCGTTAACGGAGGAGTAGCTGCAAAGGTGGATAGTGGGTGGAGGGAAGATGCAAAATAGGTGTTTGTGTATGATATACTGTATATATATATACTGATGGAAAAAAGAAACACAACACCCCCTCCTCCACACTCTGGTCCTCCCGTCTGCGTGGAACAGGCTGAAAAGTGACTAATCCATGAAGAGGACCTGATGGCACTGCTGACGACTCCATCGCAGCCTCTGTCTGGCCCAAGCCAGTCAGGTGTGATGTCTAGGATGTGCGAGCACAGGGCCTCTGACAGGTCGCCTTGCTCTAAGGCCAGCAGCATGGAGCCTCACTGTCCTGTCACAGCGGTTTCAGCAGCAGATCTGCACGTGGCAGATCTGAAACGATCTCCCAGATGGACAGTCTGATGTGTCAGTCCTGCTCTGGTGTGTTCACTCGAGGGCGACAGATCTTGGACTGTCATTTGTCCTGCCGGTCTGCTGAAACCTTCTCTGCAGTCGGGACGCAGTGGAGCGGCTTACTCCATAGTGTCTGGCAATGGTGGCACATGACATGCCTGCCTGCAGGCCTGCTCCCTTGCTTCTGGTGACATTCGAGGCATTATGGAATGCACAGGTAACTAAGTGTGGGCTTTTTTCTTGCAGTGGCCTAAAGTTCGAATTAAGGCCTTTTTAAAAGTCACCTGATCAGGCATTGTTCCAACTGGACCTTGTTGGGTAAAAGTGCACCTAACAAGCTTTTGTGTGATTGGCAAGTTGCAATGCCTCATTGCACAAGCTGTATTGCAGGTCAGAGGGATTAAAACAAATTGACAACTTTTTGTGAAAGTCCATAAGCTATAACTATAGTGTTACGACCCCAAGTGCCTAGGGGAAAAGGGGTGTAACATTTAGGATAATTCTTTTGGAAGCAGGGGGATTCTGGTGAGGGACTAGGAAGCGTGATAACAAGGGTAAGGAACTAGAGTGGTGCCAAAGAAAAGAAAATAAACAAAATGGAGCTGGCTAGGACAGTGAGGGAAAGCTAATCTGACTACAAAAGAAAACCTGAAACACACGGTCTTCGGCGTCTTCAACACCCTAGCTAACCTGCACTGACTACCCAAAACCATACAAGACAAAAGGCACTCGCCCGTACTAGTGTACTAATACAGAATCAACTAAGTGTACCCAACAACCTAAACTAACCTTATATACAAGAGTTCACACAAGAACACAAGTGAACCAGGAAGACAAATAAGGGAAAACAAGAGTAATAAACAGGAGCAGGGTACAAAAAGAACACAAAAGTTGAACATGTAACACTGGGGCAAGGTAATGACAAAACAAGAATGAACACACAAACAAACGAAAGTACAAAGAAACTAACAAACCAACAAAACAACAAAGCCAAAGCTATACAAAAATAAACATATGGTATATATAATAGATGAATAATAAAAGAAAAATGAAGTGATATGTGCTCTAGAATATAAAGACATACATATGAATATTTGTTTCGTTATTACATCCGTTTATACACAAAACTGAAAAACTTTTATTACAAGTATACTGAACAACAATTAGCCAGTAAATCATAAGTACAGGAAAACACATCTGAGAAAGATTTTTTTAAACTGTGATATTATTATTTTTGTCTGCAATATTATTACATTTTTATTTGTTCTACGTATGCTATATTAGAAAACAATATAATGACAATAATTATTACATTTACCCATATCATACCCATATTATATATACAGTACACATATATCTTAGTGTCATCATTGTGTAAACTGTACTTAGAAGTGCATTGTGGATAGGAGTGCATTTATCTATTATTGTGTATGGTATTGCTTAATTTTCTTTAAAATGGCAAAAGATGCCCATTCTACCAGGTACTAAAATTTTCTATGAAAGCACAAGAGGGCAGTATTGTTATAACTAACTTTCTGTGGTCCACTTAATTGAAAGGCTATTATTAAGTCTGTTGTCTAGTTAGTTTTGCTTCAATTGTAGGGAAGTTAATAAAAATGCTCTTATATTTTCAGTTTTATTAATTTTTAATACAAAGAAGAGATGTTCAATTATTTTATAATATGTTATTATCAAGAAGATGTACACTGTGAATTCTGCAACAGAATGAGATAGGAATTTAGTGTCCAAAAACATTTTCAATGCAGGGATATACTGTACTGTAATGTAAAATATATATGCATATATAGACACTGTACATATATAGATTAATATCAAACTCAGGAAAATCTTGTATCACAGTGATTTATTTGGTTTTGTAATGAAAATATACATTTCTTATGAAAGCTACAGTGTATAAACAATCTGTAAAACATATGAAATGTGCAAATATTTGCAGTATTTTGTTTTATACCTATTTCTGTTATAAATGTTTTTTAGATCCTTTCAATCAACCATAGTTTGGTGAAATTTCTTAGTTCTGAAATATTGAGAGCTGATGCTTCATCAGAGTCCCATAGTATCTCGATCAGATCCATGACCAGAAATTGAGAGGGTCAACACAGTTATATCATATTTCTTCAAAAGACAAATCAGCTGATGTGTTACTCTGTGTTAAGGATCATGATTAGAACGTGTTTTGCAGTGATAACAGGTCAGCCTATAAGCAAATGGATATTTCTTTGGATGTTTGACTGCACTTAAATGATCATGAAATGAAGCATCTTCAGCTTAAGCAAAATCATATTGGTAATGATCATCATTATAGGCGGAAATACTTTTTCTAAAAAATACTGTTTATTGTTATATAACATTGCCTCTTTGTTGCAAAAAAAGGCCTATCATCATTTCACCAGACCAAAGAATGCTGTCACAAAAACTCAAACAGCTTGTTTTACAGGAAAGTCATTTATTACTCATTTTTGTAGCAATCTGGTTCCATTTAACTGTCATTTTTCAAGTAGTTTATTAGCTTTGGCAGACATATTGTAAATGTTACAGATTAGAGGAGTCCAGGTATTTAGTCATTTTTTGATCCAAGGATCTCACAAGCTATTTCTGAGGGGAGGCGGAAGTATCGACTTCAGCCTAGGTAGCATGTGCCATACACCCACAACCCTTAGTTTAAAGAAGTGCCTCCTGCTCTTAGTTTTAAATAAAGTGTGTTCTTTGTATTATTCAATATTGTCTGTTATCCTTTGTCAGCTTTTGGTGTAATCTTTCAAGCTGTATTTGAATCTTACAAAGCTTTAAACTATTGAACATGCCCAGGTATAGCAGCACTGTTGTACACCAGTTTCCTGTGATATTATACATTTGCATCCCTCCCATGTTCTGATTTCTTTGTCTTCATGATCTTCTGTAATCATAATTTTTGATAGTTTATAATTACTTTATCAAATATTTTGATACATGAATAATTAAGGGATTATAACTGAAAGCTGTTAATATGGAAAATAATGATTTTCCTAACTAGAATATACAGTTTTAATATACTTTCAGTTTCATAAAAGTTTGTGTTCTATTTTTTTTAATGTAGAAATGACCATTATAGAGTTTAGCGTGGGTGGAAGATGTGAAGCAGTTATGTCGTGGGTTTAGACACGACGTGTGGGTTCACCACTTGAGCGGACGCCGCTGTGAGTGTTTAAGGGGGTGATCGCGGCTAAAGAGAAATTTATTTCCCAAATGCAGGCGGGGTCTTTTGTGATGTAACAGGAAGCCACTGTAGCTGATCACTTACAATCTGACAGCAGTTCCAACTCTACTCACATATCACTTAAGACCAGGCTCGGCTTGCATTCGCAACATTATTGTATCAGCGTTCCAAAGCCTGCTTTAGCCTCAGAAAGAAGGATCAGATTACTTTGCATTTCGTTTACAGTAAAGCCCTGGGAAAACGGTGATTGAACAGCACACTTTCAAATCTTTTTTACTTGGATTCCCATTTTGTTAGGTAAGATGCATCTTGAATTATGTTTTCTTCTTTCCTCAGCATGCGAAACTTGCATAAGGGGACAGTTAGCATTACTGCTTTAGCTAAGTGAATGGCTGGGAGAACAAATGTAGCACCACTCTGTACAAGCTCTACTTGTTTTTTTATGTTATAAAATGCTTATTTTCATTACTGATGATCTATTTTTTATGCAACCTTAATGAAGTCTGTTGCCACTTTATACTTATTTTCATGTGAGAACATCTTCTGGATTAAACTGATAACAGCAGTTAGAAAGTTAAAGTGCAATGTACTGAACTGATGATCATATTTCGCCGCCGGGAGTTAAAACGATTCAATGAATAGACCAATGGAAACAAAGTTATGCTGTTATTCGAAACATTTGTCTTTAAATTAACTAAAACAACCCACTGCACATTTACAATGCTGTTGATTAATACCATAACCGTATCAATTAATGTGTACCGTATGGTTTAAGGCAGAAGTGTATTATAAATGTCTGATTGCGCCTAAAGGGTATTTGACCTTATGATTAAATTTAACATATTCTTATCAAAACGAGGTTTTATCACTATAAATACACATATTTTAATGACAGTGGGCATTAAAATTGCATTATGTTTTGGAAAAAATATTATCAACAATGACATTGGTTTTGGGGATGAAAAGATGCAAATGATTTACCTCTGAAGTAGGATAGTAATTCTTGTTAATATCTGAGCAGCAGCTTAATTGAAAACCCTTACATCTGTACTACAAGTCCTTCTGTTGCAGGAGAGTTAAGTGGTTAATATCATCAGTTTAATTGTGGTCCTTTGATCTCAAGGCATGTAGCCTAATTTTGACAGCAAGGCTAAAGCTATGTACTGTATGTGAATATGAATGTAAACTGGCAAGTCAATGGCAGGTCAGCCAAAGAATAAGAAATGATAACTAAGAATATAAAATGATAACTAAGAATAGAATCATTTTCTTTTTAATACTCATGCTTTTCATTCTGTATATTTACTTGGAGAAAATAGTTTGGCTCAGTAAATGTAAAATAAAATAATATTTTAATGGCATAATACTTTGATGTTTTAAGGAATTACTTTAAAATTCTAATTATTGTAGAGAATAACAAAATTATTATTTTGTCTGCAGCAGCGGTAAAGACAGGGACCTTTCTTGAGAAACAAGTTTTCTTCATATATTTCCTGTTCAGCCCTCTGTTAGATTCCATGCCTTTGCTTACTTGTTTATACTTTGTAGAACATTTTTCTTGATTTTTTAAATTGAATCTAGCAATTCAATTGTAATGCACTATAAATGATTTGAAAAAAAAAATACTTCCACCATTTATAGAAGTTGTATACGTATTACACATTACTTGTTTTTGTTAAACTTTTACTTTTAACAAATGCACATTTCTGAAGAATGAATGCTTCAGTAGCCTTACATACAAAAACTATACCTGTTATTGTTTCTGACCTGGTGATACAGTTGATTTCTTATGAATCACATAGGCTAAAATGTAATTATTTTATTTATTATCTAGACGAGGGTGGCACAGTGGTGAAGTAGTTTGTATTTCAGCCTAGCAACGCTGGGGCCCTAGGTTCAATTCTGGACCTGGGGTGTTATCTGTGTGGAGTTTGTATGTTGTCACTATGTTTGACTGGGTTTCCTCCCACAGTCCAAAGACATCTTGGTAGGATAACTGGCTTTTAGGTAAATTAGCCTAGGCTTGAGTGTGTGTATGCCATGTGGTGAACTGGCATCCCCAGGTGTATCCTGCTTTGTGCCTGTTGCTTGGCAGGACCGGCTTTTAGTTAGTCTTAACTTTATATATTTCTGACAGATTCAAGCTCTTCTTCCATAACATAATATGGTTGAGAAGATGGAGCAATGTGAACTCCAGTTCTTCTATGCCATACAATCACATTGTTAGATTTTTAATTTCAGTATTTCTATTGATTTCAATCATATCTTGTTTTCCTCCAAATACAATATCACTGCTGTCTTTCATAAACAGAGCACCAGAGGCTCTGTTTATGTAATACTAGGTTACTAGTATTACAGCAGTCAATTTTGCTGTGATGTTGAGATGCACAGCTATATTTTGGAATGTGGACCAGGATTTCTTACAGCTAAGAGAATATCTGAGCCAATCTGCAAGTTTAAACAAATGTTTCTCAGCAAGGACTCATTAAAATCTTTTAGTTTTTTCAATTTCTGGCATTGGGGTTTGTGGAATAATTTCTCATAAGAGCTTTTTTCTAACAGAATATGAATAGAATAATGTGTCTTTTTGATCTTGACTGGACGGGGTATTTGTATAATGCTGTGGTGATAGTCCTTTTAAAAAAAATGAATTTCTATAATTCAGTGAGCTGCTGTTGCATTTTGTCTGTGTTGTCTACTTTAAATCTTATTTACCAAGTCAAGGTAATTTATTTTTTTTAAACCGTACTGTTCTGTCCAATGGTTTGTGTTTCTTAAATCACATACAGTGAACACCCTTTTGAAAGTGCTATCCCTGTTCGTTAAAATTGTACTGTGGCAGACAGGTGACTCTCACATTGATATCCATTTGACTAAAAAGTAAGAATATAAGAGTGAAAGCCATTTGGCCCATCTGACCTTTCTGGTAGTTAGTATCTAATTGATTAAGTATCTCTTCCAGCCATTTCTTGAAAAAAAAAACAGGGTTTTGGGTGTACAGTACAGTATGTCCATAATCCTTTGAATAAAGAAGTGCATTCTGTTCAAAGTTGATTTAAATGAACTTCCACATACACTAGTTTCCACTTGTGTCCTCTGGTTCGTGTTTCGCTGTTGATTCTCAAGATGTCGACTGGGTTGACTTAGTCAATGCCTTGAATACATTTTGAATACTTGGATCAGGTTCCCTTGTAGTCTTCTGTGCATTACTAAAAAGGGTGAGTGGTTATAGCCTGTCAATGTGGGACATTCCTTTTATGTGATGTGGTGGCCAAAATTGTACACAGTATTCTAAATGAGGCCTTACTAGTGGATTGTATAATTTTAACATCCAGCTAAATGCTTATATATTATATACATACAGTACACTAAAGATTCTTTTGACTTTTTATTGCTTTCCCTGATTGTCTAAGGAGTGTAAGTGATGTGTCAATGTAAACATTTTCATCGAAGAAGTATTTTCCATAAGAAACCTTTCCAGCATTTCCCATAATGTATCTATAGTTTAAGTTTCTGCTACCTACTTTACAGTACAGTATGCTGTATGTACTGTAATACTCTGCACTTGTCTACATGTAAAGTGTTTGCCCTGTCTTGTCTCTACCCTTTTGAATTTCATTTGCTGCATCTAAAGTGTTTGCTAATCTTTTTTAAATAATTAATAATAATAATTGCTTACACTTATATACTGTAGCTCTTTTCTGGACACTCAACTCAAAGTGCTTTACAGGTAATGGGGACTCTCCTCCACCACCACCAGTGTGCAGCATCCACCTGGATGCGACAGCAGCCAAAGTGCGCAAGAATGCTCACCACACATCAGCTATCAGTGGGGAGGAGAGCAGAGTAATGAAACCAATTTAAGATGGGGATTATTGCCATGATTGGTCAATGGTAAATTTGGTATAATCAGTATAATCTGCAATCTTGATTTAAAATGCATTCACTTGTTATGGTTTATTATGTAATTAAATGCAAAAAGTACTACAGCGATGCATTGTGTAATGTGATGTAAGATTTGGTTGCACAGTACAGTACCTGAAAATACTGCAGGTACGCAATGCTTGCATTACATATTTTTTCAGGAATGCTTCTGTTTGTGTCATGATGTTTAAAATGATAGAAAACACGAATGCTGCAAGATTTCACAAAACGATTTCCTGTTTAATGAGTATAAAACATCTGATAAACTAAACTGATCAGTAAATCGAAACAAAAAAAAGATACACATAACTGGTATAAGTAAAGGCAAATATATTTTGACATTTGGGAAAGGGGTCTTTGCTTGAATAATAACTTTTTATTATCACCCAAGAGCACTATTTGGACATGTTCACAGTTCATATTATTATAATACATTTCTAGTATTAACAATAATAATAATAATTGCTTATAATTATATAGCGCTTTTTCTGGACACTCCACTCAAAGCGCTTTACAGGTAATGGGGATTCCCCTCCACCACCACCAATGTGTAGCATCCACCTATTGTATTGTAAGAAGATATTGTTTCTATACCCCCTGTTTACTATCTATATGACTTACAGGAATTATTTCAATAATAGATCACTATGATCTACCACACAAGGCAAGTACAATTTGGAGGTGCTTCCTCTAGTGAACTATGCTAAAGTTTGTAATAAAAAACTGCATTTAGAGTTAAGAAACATAATCAAAAATCATTCAGTCCCATTTTTTAATGCTTATAGGTAACATATCTAAACTATAAATAGTGTCTATCTGTCTAATAATGGATATCCTTCAAAGTTAGGTTGGCAGTTAAGAGTTGCGATGAATTACGGGCCATATGAATATTAATTAGCAACTCACTCAAGCAGATAGAAGTGTCTTATGATTTTTTATTCCACATTTTTGCGTAGTCAAAGTAAGCAGACGCGCACAGCTGTTCAGCCCTTATTAGGGATCAACAGTGTGACATAGACTTTGACCAGTGACACATACATATTTACGTATCTTAGAATGAACACCCCCTTAAGGTTACAGTGAGAGCTGAGAGCAGTGTTTGCAATTTTCCACATTTGCAACTGTTTATATAACCTATACTATAGGCTATAGAATCACATTAGGGATTATACCTGTCTTTTAGTATTGCTTTGTTAAAATATTATGTACTGTACTGTATATATTCATGTCCCTATGTGTTTGGTTTTATTAAATGTCCCCCTATTTCAATGCTATGCATAAAAGCCTATTATTACAGACAATATGCAAACCTGAGAAACGTAACACCATTTCCTCGTGTATTTGTTTTTTCTTTCGTTTCGTCAGGTTTTTTC